TAGGTGATGAATGAAAGTATTTATAGTGAGAGTAGAGTACTGATTTTCTTATTCTTACATAATCCAGCTGCAAGGACTGATCGGTTGCCGTTCTAATAATTAGGGGGATGTATCTTTGTAGAATATTGAAGTCTGTACTTCCAACAAGCCATGAGAAGCCGGTGTTATTAAGTAGCTCTGTTATACTTTTTACCAGTCCGCTATTCTGTTTTGAAGAAATTGAAATGTCCCACAAATGTGCCAAACAAATTGAAGGTAGCCTGCTGCCGTCCATTTTCAGAATTCTAGTCCAGAATTTTAAAGTTAGTTTTTTCACTGTGATATCAAGAGATTTTCTTCGTGTTTCGGCCCTCAAAATATAGCCCGGAGTATAGCTTGGAAGGCACAGAAAACGTCTGAGAAAGGTATCCTGGATTCTATCTAAGATTAAGGCTTGATCATGTGCCCAGATTGGAGCCGCATAGAGTAGGACTGTCAAGATCATAGAATCCATCAATCTCTAACTTGCATGGAAGGATTTGAGCTTGGACCTCAGAATAATCTCCCCCACAGCACCCATCGCGGCCATGGTCCTGCCTCTATAATTTAAGGCAACTTGAGTGAAATAAATCGAAGGGGTGAGCGGGTAGCCCAGGTACGTATATTTTGATGTAACACTTAAAGGACTTTGACCCCAATACCATCTTTCTGAACGCGCCACCTTGTCTCCATTACGGAAAACCATTATTCTTGACTTGTTTTCTTTCAGAGTTAGTAAGTTAGTTTCTAGATAGGTTTTCAGTATATTGATTTTCAATTGAAGGTTTATTTTAGAATCACCGATCAAAACAATATCGTCGGCATATAGGAGGAGGTGTATGTTTCCGAAATTGGGTAAGTATATTCCTGACAACCCCGAGTCATCAAATATTTTAATCAAATCATTAATAAAGAGTATGAATAGACCATGCGTATATATATATATATATATATTATAAATTAAAAAAAAAGAGATTTCTGTTGATTCATGATTATCTTGAGGATTATGCTATGGTAATGCAGTCGTGGTTAAAATCTGAAAGTATAATTATAAAAATAGTTTTTATCGGTAATTTAATTGAACTAAAAGAATATATAAAAAACATAGTTTGATAAAAGTACTGCCTGGCTTAAGGCGTAAGAAAAAAAATGGAAAACTTATTTACATAATGTACAAAAGGTTTGAGCCGGCCATCGAGAAACAACAACAATGAGTTTTTATAGGGGAAACGTGACATCTGGCGGTCGATTTAGCAGAGTATTTGAATCTATGAAATATAATTTAAAATAAAATAATATTTTAATATAACATATATATATATCTTTAATATTTCAATAAAATTGAGAATTTTAAATAGTTTTCAGAATAATTACATATTTAAGTTATCTCATGTTGTTTCTGCCCCATAGCCATACTCTAAGGATATATATACGCCATATTCCAAATGGGGCATAGAAGTAAGCAGTAGTGGGGCAACGGCGACTTCCCAAGGCACTAAATAAAAGCCTTCCTTAGTTCTCTAAGTAAATCCAGCCCATAAAGTCTCACCTTACGTGATGTAGAACATGACAGCTTCATAGAAAACGGACGTTACCGCTCATATATCAACCGGTTATTGCCAGCCTTATCGGGAAATTTCATTGGCTACCCGGGGTCACGTGAGGAACGTGCTGGGGTTAACCGACAAGCTTCCAGGGACAGAATTAAGTGACTTCTAAGTAACGCTTATAGCAAGCCTATGGCAACAAACCACCCAGTTTCTAGTCTTAGGATTCTTATCTGAGTAGTTGGTGTTTTGCGCTCAAGGAACCTGGGTTAGAAATATCTCTTTCTTAACGTTTTTATGCATCATTTCATAGTTTTAGTTTATATGCCAGATACGCTAGCAAACTAAGTTTATCCAGTATTTACTCATGATTACCATATTAAAGTGGCAACTTGAACTGTGAATAATGAAGATATTAATACTGTTGAAACAACACTGTTGTAATGGCTATGTGTTATCTGAATAAGACACGTTCTAGCTTTACAAGTTGAACTGAATGTTTATTTCATCCAGTAATCTCCTTTTATACAAAATAGAAAAATAAAGGTAAAAAATAAATATTTTACATAATGTTAAAACAATTGACAAATGCCATGATTTTGCATAGTCAATAATAAATACACAACGTAACATTATTATAGGTTATTTAACATATAACAACAAACACCTTACCTTTTTTTCCCTATTTTTGCACATATAATATTGTCATAACCAAAAATGTACATAGCTTGTAACTGTAAATAATACATCGGCAGCTTGGCGAATGTTATGTACCTAAGCCCCGATAGGTGGCGCGCGCTGTCAGCTTGGCAAGTGTTATGTACCTAAGCTCCGATAGATGGCGGGCGGGCTAGGCGGGAAGTTTGTAAACCACAACCGCCATCTTAGAGGGAGTAGCCGATAGCTAGCTGTTTGGGTCTCTGACATTACTTCCTTAATTTTTTTTTTTTGCTTATTCCTAGTACACATGGTACAGCCATGATATTCATGGTGGGTAGAAGAAGGCGACTGCTTTTACTGTAAGTGCACCGCATGTCTACGCATGTGAAAAGCAGTTTGACTTTGCACTTACAAATGTGCCAGAGCCCTGTTTGGTTACTTGCACTCGCAGGTGGGGTTGGAATTTTGCAAGAATCGGTAGCCATTGGAGCATTTATTTTTTAAATCATAAAAAAATGTCCAATACGGGAATCGAACCCGGGTCGTAGCGGCCGAAAACCAACGGTTTTGACCATCTTTCCACAGACCCCCCCCTAATTAATAATTATTTTTATCCATTTAACTTAAGTCTTTTCTCCTTTTTATCCCTCAAACTATTTAACTATTCAAAGTCATCTAATAAATTATTATTTTATATTACCCCAAACGTCACCCTTCATTACTGTGACAATACCGAGTAGTATTTCAAAGTTACCAAACCAGCAACACACACCATTACCTCTTCATGAAGGTTTCTTCTGTAATTTACAATTGGTCCCCCATCGACCGAAAGGGAATCGGGTTAAGAATCCCGGACGCGGAGTTGCCCCTCCTCTAGGGGGAGGCGGTAACGCAAGCGAACTCAGAGACGTCGCCGAGAGCCCTGGGGAGAGTTTTATTTTCTCGTTAAGGACCCTGCTCCCTGGAATTGATTCGTTCGGAGATAGGGATGCCCGGTCCGAAGAGCACTACGTTTCACATGGTGTCCGGTGCGCTATCGGCGGCCTTTGAAAATCCAAGGAACGGTTTGCTCTCGCGCCAGATCGTACCCATATCCGCAGCAGGTCTCCAAGGTGAGCAACCTCAAGTCGATGGAACAATGTAGGTTCTGTAATTTACAATTTAAAAAAACTGACACTATGGATTCTATTGGAGATCATCTGAATTATTATTAAAATTACAAATATATTCTCACAATGAGTAATTTTTTTTATTTAAAAACGCTAGCTTTCAAGTGTTAATCGCTCTTCAACGGGCTTACTATAATATCGAATTTATCCCACCAGAAATATTTACAAAAACAAACGCGCGCTGCGTGGATATTGATAAAATTGTGAAAAAAAATGTATCATGAATAATCTTAATTATTTCAGAAATAATAAACAAAAGAACAACAAGATTTATGAAGATTTCAAATACAGACTATAGCAACAACAACAACAACAAAAGCCTTTATTTAGGGCATTCCGCCCCATATAGGATTCGCCGTATTTACACATCAACAAGAGGAGAGGGAAGAGGAAACATTTACAACAAAATAAAGTTTGTCTCACATTCAGTTACCTATTTACAGATAGGTCATCCTCCAGTATCCTTTGCCCTGCATTCTTTCTCATGCGCCCAGCTTCTGTGCAGAACTTAAAGTATCTAACAATCAGTAATTCATCATCCAGAGATGAAGAGAGAAGTTTACATATGCGATGGTATCTAAATTGACCAAAGTTAGGGTTTGGGAAAATTTCAGTACGTTTTCTGTTAAGAGAGGGCATTGAATGAAATAGTAAACCAAATTATCATCCATGAGATCCTTACAAAGTAAACAGTTCCGGCCATTTTCTTTCCAGAAGTCTTTTCTTTCTTCCCTGAAAAATTGCCAAAAGCTCTATGTTGTGCAACTAGTCTTTTGTTGGGAAGCGAGATATTTAATCGTAGGTACTCCTCTGTCATGAATGATTCACTCAAAAATTTGTAGTGAGCAAAGTGGGTTGAATCAATGATTTTCATCTGATCGTTTAATTATTTCAGAAATAATAAACAAAAGAACAACAAGATTTGTGAAGATTTCAAGAACAGACTTATATAATTAGAATCAAAATACAATAGATATGTAGCTTAAATCTGATGGATTAATATTGACTAAATCGCTGATATGAATCATAACTGATGAGTCAAGCTTTCATAAAGTCTTCATCTCACTCATTTTGAAGATATTCCTTCCTATATTGTCAAAAAGAATTAGCGCTGAATAATTTTATCATTGTAGAACGATATTTGAAAATTATCCCGCATGTGTTTCTTTTGAACGAAAAATCGGAATTTATTTTAAGGAGAAATAACGATTATTTCTAACCTTAGGGATGAAGTATAAAGGATGAATTGTGAAGAGTAATGATAAACGGAAAATATACTTCATACTTCATCCTTAAGGATAGAAATAATCGTTATTTCTCGTTAAAATAAATTTCGATTTTTCGTTCAAAAGAAACACATGCGGATAATTTTCAAATGTCGTTCTACAATCATAAGCCGCATTATATTGTATTATAAATTTCATCATTAATATACTTATTCACATTTTTACATTGTTAAATTGCAATAAAATGCATCAATTATCTGAAGAATGTATAATGGATATATTTCGTACATCACGCGGATGATTAGCTAACAGAGAGTATATAGTTTTACGGGCTAATAACCAAAATGTACGATTTCTGAGACCAAAAAAAAAAAGGTAATAGCCTAAAGCCCCCGGTGTTTCCAAGTGGTCACCCTCCCAAATACTGACCGGGTCCGACATTGCTTAACTTCGGTAATCGGAAGAGAACAATTATCTTACGAAGAGTTTGATTTCCTAGAAGATAAGCGAACAGCCTCGTCGAAATATCGTATTTTGTTTTTCAATAAGTCTATTTGATCCAAAATATGCCTTCATTTTAATATATTGTAACGTAGTATTTCTTAATTTTTTTTTTTTTTATTATTTAACAGAGTGGTCATTTTTATGTTTTATATCTTGCGACTCTGTAAATTGCCCTCGTGGCTTATCTTTTGTTTACTTTTGATAGTTGGTCCTTCCCTGAAATAAATTTTGTTTCCTCCTGAAGTTTTTGTCTTCCCTAATTTTCCACGTGGAAATATATATATATTATATTAATGATCTTTTAGAAATAAAAGGAGCTGGTGAAGACTATTGATTGGTTTATTAGCGGTAACCTATGGTCTCAAAGTTTTACAAATTAACAGTAATAGAAAATTGAGGAATCTTAAATGTTGATTACCCAACATAACAACAAATATGGCCAATTTTCATGATGACTGTATAAACTGTTCATGATGATAGCAAAAACAACAAATTATCTATTTATCTACACAGAAACTCCGCCTTTGCCGGTCCCAAGCCCGGATGAAAAAGGAGGATGGGGAGCAGTAACAAGCTCACCAAAAAACCTGGGTTCAGCTGGCCCGGCTGATAGTACCCTGTAAGGGCTCCTAATCCAGGGATACAGGATGAGCAGTGTTTGTACTCCATATTAGGAGCAGCTGAACATGGCGTCTGTTCTTCATATTAGAGGCGGTCATTTCTTTTGGAGCTAAGTCGGCTTGCCACTGAGTAGTGCTCCCAGTCTTAATGACAAAGGTAGATGCATTCTACTTCACCCAATCATGATGGTTGACAACTTTACAAGCTTGATACCCTAATATGATTGAGTGGAGATAAGAAAGAAAAAGAAGATCTACACAGCGACATTTGGACTTCTCGACGGCGGCGTCATAGAGTTAATAAATAAAAAAATAAAAAAGCATTATTCACATAAAAAATAAAATGGCAAAAGAAATATTTACAACATATATATTTTGATAATATTAATAAAAAAATTTACAATGCTCTCTGTACATTTTGAATATATTGAATAAAGTACTAGGTAAGATTCCAACCTGCCTCTGAAGAAATCTTCATATTTCTTACGTCAGACTTGGTAACAAATCGTCGAGATGTCAGGAGAACTCGCCATAAAGGTATGTCATATTCCCAGACGAGTCGTTCTATTTTCAGACAATTGATCTGATGATATATCAGTAATCACGCCGGCATGGATAGGCACGATTGATTGATTGATCGATTGTATCGATTTATCAATAATCTTCTTTTTGTCTTCCTCCATTCTACTTATAGATATTCTCTCACTTCTCTCCAAATTTAATAGTTAGAAAAGTTCGGGTTTCTATGTAGATTTTTGTAATTTGTATAATGGTTGTTAAGATAGAAGCTGCATGGCTGGCATTCATAATTCTTCAAATTAAATATACTTCGGGGGGGGGGGGGGGGGGGGTCGGTGGAAGACTGGTTAAACCGTTTGGTTTTCGACCACTACGACCCGGGTTCGATTCCCGCATTGGACACTTTTTTATGTTTTAAAAAAAAATGCTCCAATGGCCCCCGATACTTGCAAAAGTCCAACCCCACTAGCGAGTACAAGTAACCAAACGAGGCTCTGGCACATTTGTAAGTGTAAAGTCGAACTGCTTTTCACATGTGTAGATATGTGGTGCGCTTACAGTAAAAGCAGTTGCTAACTACCCACCATGATTATCATGGCTTTGAGATAAGAAAGAAGAAATAGATACTACGGCCAGTAAATCTTTTGTCGAAACGTCGAAACAATAAAAAAGATTTACTAGCTAAAATATCTTTAATTTGAAGAATTGAATAATTGTAATAAATAATAGTTTGTTAAATGCGATTATCAATTTTTTTTTTTTAGATTTTTAAACTATGTTTCTAAAGGATCTCAATGAGATGAGAGTAAAATTATTATGATAGCAGGGATTTGTTCTAAATCAGGATTGCTAGTACATCCATCAGTTTTACCAACATCAGTTTCAGATCGCTTTGAAATTAAATTAGGCTATTTTACCTATAAAATTGCACTAATTCTATAAAGTTCATGGTTCTCTGGTGGGGTTGGGGGCCATTTGACTATTTTCTTATGAGAAAAAGTTCCCGATGCGGGTTTCGATCCCGGGTCGTAGCGATCGAAAACCAACGGTTTAGACCAACCTTTAACCGACCCTCTCAGTAGGTACACCTTTATATAAAAATCCCCAGTTTTTAATGAACTATGAGACGACGAGCATAACAGTAAATCCAAACTATAAGAATAAAAAAGGAAGATATTTTTAAGCGTTTGTTAAAGACATCGATTTTAAAATAAGTATTCTACTTTTTAAAATGATATTCTGTTCATTTTACGCTCGGTGTCTATACAAAATTATAGTTTTTTTTATTTGATTTTGAAGCTATAAATGTTTTTGTGAAAAAAGACGAATTCCTTTTAAATCTCTTCTTAACATTTTGAAGATCCTGAAACAACGATATAAATACTTTTTATTTCATTTTTAATCACTTTCATCTTGAATAATTGATTATTTTAAAGTATATTTAGTGCTTTTATATAAAAATATTCATTTTAGGCCCAAATAATGTATTCTTGAATACTTTACATGACTTTTTTATTGTAAAACTTTCTCAATTTGTAAACGTACTTTCATATTTTAGTAAAATATATACCGCGTTACCTTTCCATGACATAGATCTAAAATCTAGGTTAGTATCAGAATATCTATTAAATTCTCAATTTGTTTGATACAAATAACCATTTATACTTTGTATCACATACATAAGATGTAAGTGGTTTTTTTCTAGATGAATCTCACACACACACAATAAATAACATTTATAAAATATTTAATTATCATTTTGGCAATGTTGTTCGTATGATAAATATTATAAATATTATCACTAAAGACTTTACTGTAATGATAAACATTATTGGATTAGATGGCTTGTCTTATAAGTGGGGAACCATAAGCGGTTCTGTCAAATTTATCTATAAAGACCACTCTCTACTATTTTAATAGATTATTTTTGTATTTTTTCCGGAATTACATTGATCAATAAAAATAATAGACACCCTCTCCCTTCAAATATAGATTGGCGTTTAGGTTTGACGTTTAATTTTGATGGGAGATATGTCATTACCTTAATTGATCAATATGCTCCCGACAAAATTTCCATCTATATATATATATATATATATATATATATATATATATATATTGACTATAGATTTGGCCCAGCTACTTTACCAGCTAAACACTTCTTTGGCAGATTGTTCAGATTCCATTGGATCCTTTGTGGATATCATAGAATAAAGTCTGCTCTGGACTGAGTAAGACCATTAGCCCGAAACCATGGTCTCTAGGTGGACGCTTCTGACTCGCAACTGACTACTCTGTAGATGCTACTATGCTATCTTTTATCCGCTTCTGAATTGTTCTTTATGCTCAGGATTCTTCTAAATTATTAACCCATTGTATAATTATACAAGGTCATGGAGACTAAATTCATAGATCAAATTCACAATCATGACAGGGTTGGAATATAAGCCCTGTCTTTAGGCTCCCATGCATTCCAATAGGTGATCTGGTGAGGCCTCTTTGGTTATGAAGACGATGCATTGTGAGGTCTTTACACCATCCTGGAAGAGGAGTAGTTTGTATGGCCAATTTTGAGCCTGGAGATATAGGTTGCTGCCTGTCGGTTCATTCCACATTCCAGAATAGCTCCAGGCTTTTAATTCCGATACCAATGATGGAATGCTGGTGGTCAGAATGAACGCTGCTTATATGCTGAGATGGTGAGGCCGGAGGTGATGGATGTTTATGGGTGTCCAATCAAGGATTGACATGACCTATATGTATACATCCTGGCTTAGCTTCTTGGACAATTTTAACGACCCGTTTTACGACCTGGGTGTCGCCCTTCTTTTTCCAGGAAGAACATTTTAGTGATGCCATTTTTTTTTCAATTAAATCAAGTACACAATGTACATATAAAGCAATAACGCGCCATATATATGTTATGATTATTTTGTTTTGTTGTTGAAAAAGATAGAATTGTAGGTGCAGTCGTGAAAAATAGGAAATAAATTATTTATCTATATATATCAAGTAGTTTTTATTTTGAAATACCTGAAGTAAATTACACATAAAATTATTTTTTCACAGTAATATATAATTTTAAAAATGAATCCTATATTCGTGAATTAAAAAAAAAAAGGTAGGTTAACTATACATATTTACAACAATATTAAAAGTTGTATCTTCTAAATCTATGGTCAAAAATATAGAACAGTCAATGATGAAAATAAAATATATGTTTAAAATATATATATATTTGCATTTTAGATTATATAATATATATACAGTAATTGAAAATATTGAAAGGCGAGTGTCTTTATTTGCTGTATATAAATGACATATTATGGCTTTATAGAAGATATATTATATTGTTTACATTATTTATGCTTAAATGGCATTGTACTTATTGTTTGAGGAAGAGAATTCCTTGATGCAAATTTTTATATGTAATTCTACTGTCCTAAAAGCTTATGTCCATAGTTTGCTTAAATACCATTTCTTTGATACCACCCTTCAGTGTTGTATATAAAGCAGAATGATCCTATACAGTATTAGAGCTCTAAAGAAGCGTTCTGGTAGATTAAATTGGCGAATCCTCTGGGAGGGTTAACCACTGATGAGCCAAGCCCTCCCAATATTTTTCTATCGCAGTGAGGACAGTAGAAGTTTGAGTGATGTGTAAAAGAAATATTCGCGTATTAATATTTTGATTTTCTGTATACAATACACAATATTTTATATAAAACATATAAAATACGACATTGCGACTGCTGTGATAGAGATGCCTGGAGACATCTGAGGCTCTTCATTGGACACTACACCAACAATAATACAGTATGCACACCCAAGATAGAGATCAATGTGACTGCT